AAAAAATATCATTGCACACTATTCACAGTTTTTTTTTATATTTTCTTCATATATTATCAAGCAATAGCTCAATATTTATGCGTCTAAGGGACCGGTCATTATTTATGGCGGGGGGTGGCACCGAAGAGAAATGTTTTTCGTAGCAAAAATTTTGCTGACCCAACCATTAAAAAGTAAACAAAATTGATTACCCAACCTCAAATATCAATTAAAAAATAAATACCCACCCCTGGCCAAAAAATTTACAAAAGGTACTATTCAGTTGTCACATATGTCCTTTACCACTTCTGTGACATAAGTTTGATAATGGATTGTGAAATTTTCTGCAGTCTGAAGTTTCATGTTGTTTGCACATGTAGCTACTTTCTTTGGAGATCCCATCGGAAATTGATCAAGATAATGACTCTGATTGATATATACTTTTCGTTGTTTCTTTACACATTTAGTAAATCTTAGTATAACACCAAGTTCATCAATTGCTGCTATTTTGCTAGCAAATCCATGTATAATAAACCCGGGTGTTTTGCAATCAAAAGTGATGCAACCTGGATAGTGGAATAAGTTGATTACTGTAGGCACAATTTTTGGCCACTTAATAAGTCAAAGGTCATGCATAAATAAGAACAGTCTTTAATATTACCGCCTTACGGAGACTTTATATTAATTGTGCTACTCGAGGATCTAGAAGGTCCTAGAAGAACCATAGGTCCCATACTCGACTAGCAACATAATCAAGTTAGTTATGTTAATTAATTATATATAGGATCAATGTTAAAGGCAAGGTGGGCTATAAGCTATAATCATTTGTATGGCTTATAGAAGGCTAATTGCCATGAATAAATTGAATAATGAATGTAGCACAATATTAAATAGTTGCATGATGACGTCAAAGAAACTAGTCAGACTACATTTGCAAGTTTTGCAACTCTCATCGCTTAAATTCCCCATACCTGAATACAAAATAAACGGTAAACAACAATTACGTTTTACATACCATATATAAAACGGAGTTTTCATCCTTTCTAGAAACTCACTTCCTGAACTTTTGAGCGCAAATGTAATGTATTAAAAATGTATATCATATTCACAGCAGTTAATACCATTAATATATCGCGGGCGCAATACAAAACAAAACACGAGAATTTTAAAATGTTTTGATTTGCAAATAAATAAATAATATTTGATGTCATAAAAATTTTTAAATTTAACTCAACACAAACTGGTAAGTTCATGACATGTATAATTTACTTATATGTTGTTATATTGCAATTCTGTACCCTACTCCTTTGAAAATTGTTTGCAATTGCATATGATGTGAACATGTGGTCATGTATTATAGTTGTGTCATGGATTTAATAATACCCCAATGGCTTCGAAATAGACAATGGATGGAAAAAGTCATGAATATTGAACTTATTTACCCTTTAAACACTTGATTGTCATGCGCATACAGTGTATTGTTTGTTTCCAGAACCCCGGCCCTCAAGCAGACTTCAACTTTTTTTGCTAAATTGTATATTTTGCTTCATACACTGCATGTGTGTGTGTTTGTGGGAACACTCATGTTTGGATGCTTGGCGTAGGTTAATGGTAATTTCATTGGAGTCATCAGGGATATAGTTGTATATATATTCCTGAAATTACCTCTAAACACCTAAAACAGCATTCCCTAAAATTTTAATTGTTTTCTTACATTGCCCTATATCGCTCAAACTCGCATTGCTTAAATTGCAGATTTTGCTTAAATCACCTAAATTTGCTTAATTAAACTTGCATTATCTCGTCATCGCCCCAGAGTAGGGCCTGCTGTTGCCATTGCTTTTTAGTCCCCAATACCTCAGTGAGTCATGCTTTGGAAATGACAATAATTTTTTATTACCCAACCCTTGAGTTGTTTTGTTTTTCATTTACCCAACCTTTTACTTACTCAAAATTTAGTTTACCCAACCCTTTTCTCTTCGGTGCCACCCCCCACCATAAATAATGACCGGTCCCTAATAATCACATGATGATATCTATAGGGTTTGTATTAAACTTGTGCGACGCTTATATTTTCCCCGAGCCAACGGCGCGGAGCGCCGTTCCGGGCGTATGCCCGGGGCGAGGCTAATGCGCCCGGCTATTTGCCCGGCTATCTACTAATTCCGCCCGGCTATTTACACCCGGGGAAACTGACGAAAGCATTAGTGAAGTCTAAAATTTATCAATAGGGAGTTTACGCATGTACGACGGCGGCGTCAGGACGAAGGCTAAACAAACTTTTTGAAATAAATGATTGTATGAAAATGTTGTCCTGCATTTACTTTAATATGAATTTAATACAGTTTAGAACGAGTAAAACAGAGCTTTAACCTTCAGAGCAATTTTGATCAACGCTGTTAGAAAAATCGCATGCCACGGCTTGAAATGCTAGCGTACTTTACAAGACGCGAAAATATGCATTTTGTCGTCGTCAACAGAGCATGGACGACGTCTGAAACTCCAGATATACTTTTAATTATCCATTTCTTTTGTGCTATAGGATTAATGATATTGTATTGATAGCCGTCGTCCTGATGCTGCCGTCTTACATGCGTAAACTCCCTAATGACCGCGGGCGTGGGTGACCAACGGTGGGTGGTCATGACCAGTGCTGTAAAAGTTACAAGTAACGAAATTACAAGTAATCGTTACTTTTTGAGTAACTGTAACGGTAACTAGTTACCTTTAAAAATAAGGTAACTGTAATTGTAACGAGTTACATTTTGGCCTAAAATGAAACGATAACGCATTACTTTTATAGCCAACGTTTACGTTACTTTTTTCGTTACATTCTTGCGGTTAAAACTTACAATTCACCTCTCAGTTCTCGAAATTCTCCTCACGGTTTTCTTCGACAACGCATGCTTCAGTGCTTAACACAGCTGAGAGATCCATTAGTGGTAAGGTTACATAACGTTTACAAATAATTAACGTCAATCTGCTGACCACTAATCATTAAGTTGAAAAAAACTCGGTTTTTTCTTACTTGAAGTAACTTGTAACTAGTTACAAAAATATTGAAGTAATTTTGTAACGGGAACTAGTTACATTTTTTAAGTGTAACTTTTACCAGTAACTAGTTCCTTTTTGGGAATGTAACTGTAACTGTAACTAGTTCCAAAAAATGAGTAACTTTTACAGCACTGGTCATGGCTGACTGTCATGAATAGCACTGATTGGATGGTCAAATTTAACATTTGTTGTAAGTTGTATGACAAATGACGACAGCGAAATAAGAAACATTTCTTGCAACTATATAGTATTTTTTCAAGATTGTGCAAATTTCAAAACCTTTTCGAAAGCCGAAAAGTGTCTAACACGCCTAAAAGAATGGACGCCTTCATTAACGTCGCCGACGTTAATGAAGGTAAGTTTTTAGCATTGCCGTATTATTTGCTTTATAACTGCTTTAAAAACTGATACGATCCGTTGCGTATACGGTATAGTAAAGTGAAAATAATTTCACATTATTTCAGTGTTTTTTTTATTGAAGTGCCTATGACACGAAATTTCACCCCAAATGTTTATGATTGCATTGTAAAGATCACTTAAAATGACTTAATAATTTCTTTTATAGAATTTTGGTAACTTGCTTCCTTTGCAAGATATTCAACTTTGTTTCATATGAAATATCACCGGTGTGACATCACATCGCATAATTACATTTTGAAAACGCAATATTTTACTTTGACAAAATATTTTTACAAACAAATACAGAGGGTTAATTACAAGATATGAAATTAATATATATGCAAGGGCAATTTTTAAGTTTTTTAGATATGTATTCGTCAAGAAAACTATACTTTTATGAAAACTCATTATGGGATGTGATGTCACACCGGTGACATTTGCATATGAAACAAAGTTGAATATCTTGAAAAGGGAACAAGTTACCAAAATTCTATAAAAGAAAATATTAAGTCATTTTAAGGGATCTTCACAATGCAACCATAAACCTTTGGGGTAAAATTTCGTGTCATAGACACTTTAATGTTATCCTCTTTTGTATATTAAAATATTTAAATAAAGAGGAAAGCAAAGTTATTTTCATATATGCAAGAATTTGAAGTCAGTTTATTTCAATTTTCAAACTCAATGTTTACCGATAAAAGTCAGTTCAGTTTTAAGAACATTTTAAAATGTTTTGCGAAGCGTTTGTGGTTGAATGTTACATTAAATTGAAGCTTATATTACGTATAATAACATATCTAGCATATATATGTTTGGGAAATTGATCATTTTGTAATTAAAAGTGATATTGTTTTTTTTTTTGGGGGGGGGGGCCAAATATCGTGTTACCATGACAATACTTCATGTTTGGAAAGCATAATGGTTTTGTCAGCAAGGCGAGGGTTTCTGCATGAATGTATTTTCTAGTATGTCTTTAATTACTTTGTATGCGGCGCTTATCGAGGCGGCAATTAAACAAGTATATATACGGTAAATGCGCAACTGGTGACATTATGGAACAATCATGGAACATGATGGGCAATCTTTAGCTTGTTTACATTATAAAATAATGTTTCGCTATTTATATTATCGCCAACTATTCCGGTCATAATGCGTCAGCGATAGGTCAGCGGTTGCTCAAAATTTAGAATTGGAACTCAAAAAATTTTTCTATTGATGGCTGTCAAATTCGGATTCGTCACGCATTCTGATGCTCATGGAAAGTACAATTTGGTTATAAATTTGTGTCGATATACTGCGTTCCAATAAAATTTTGTGTAAATTGTAAGACTTTACAGCGTATGTTTGTTGAAACTCGCCAACAATTCGCCAACACATGTTGATCAGAATAGTTGGCGATGTGAATATTGTTGTGACCACATCATTTGTGATATACAGTAGAAATTATAAATAGCTATACATGCAGAAAATCTTTGTTCTTCAACATTTTTGAACTTGTTCTGCTGCAGATTGATAAAAAGAGTAAAGCTGGGACATCAAGAACTGGGAGTTTAGACTGATTAGTAGATATGAGATTAAAAGCAGTGAATATCGTGTTGGTTTACATTCTAGTCTTATCATACCTGCAAGATAAGGTCAGTGGTTGTGGAGGCGGGGGAGGCGGGGGAGGAGGTTGTTCGGCCACAAATTGTGAGTGGAGCTCATGGTCATCGTGGAGTACATGTAATCATAGATGTGGCAGTACGGGAGAGCAAACACAGACACGAAGCAAAACAGTACAGGAAGATTGTGGAGGATCATGTTCAGGTTCGTCAGCGAATTCCAGATCATGTAACAGAAACGCATGTCAAAATGGAGGAAACCCGATCCCTGGCCGATGTTCATGTTTGTCAGGTTGGACAGGAACCTGCTGTGAGTCAGGTGAGTGAAGCTCAAGATGAGTTATGAAACCTAATATATGTACCAGGCACACATTGAACTTTTCTGAAACTAGCTTCACGGTTTGTGCCTGAACGACCTGAGGAGAACTATTCTACCAACGAACGGAAGAACTTCCAGGGATCTCATTCACAAATCATGGCAAGTAATTGTTTAAGAAATTACACGGTTTGAGAAGTATGAATGAAAAATCGCACTCGTGTTTGGCGGAACTTTTCTGATACTGCAAGTATTATAAATATTTCGCCTAAGGCAAGTGTAATTTTTCATTAATACTTTGAGCACAAGTATAATTTCCTATTTAATTTACAATTCGTAACCTGAGAAAATCTATGAATAATCTTCATTTTTTCTTTCCTTCATTATTTACATATTCTTGAAGAGCTCATTGTAAAATAAGAGCTCCAAAATTATAAATTTTCACATTGTTTATTTGGATGTTGTGTTTATGGCACGCGGGCTCGTATTCGTACCGATTAATCTTTAATCGGCACACTGCGCCGATTAATGTTTGATCGCCAAGGTTCTTAAACAATCAGAATCAAGTAAATTGACTAAAATGATATTAAATGTAATATCCTATTCCTCACTCTAAACTTGTACAATTAGAAAAGTCGATTTATGCCACGATAATATTTTTCAGCGAACGTAGTATTCGGACGGTAGGTGTTTTTAAATATGGCCTAACAAACGTTGACAGATAATGCTCTTCACTTTCGAATTCTCCTTTAGTTCTTTAATTCCGAAGGCTAAGTCGATATATAAGTAGCATCTTTAATTAGATTTAATCGTTAATTTTCAACTTTGCCGTGACAACTTTGGCATTACATATGAGTATAGAATAGTTGGTATATGCTATATTTACTAGTAAAAATTTCATGTAATTAGATAAAAAGTACTATAATTAACAACTGAAAATTTAGTGAAGGGAAGGACGCTGGCAACATTATACAACATGCTTTTAAATTCTTATTTGGGGATGGGGGGTTGTGAATTGCGGTATTTGCTCGAGGTATCATTGTATATCGTTGGTTAAATCAAAAATATTAATAATGAGCACTTCTATACAACTGGTTTTGATTTACTTTCGACAGTTCGACCTCGAATTGGGCTAGCATGCGTGAACAACTTATGAGTTGTGTGATAATTTATATCAAATTTCCCATGCCGTTTTAGACGTAGACGAATGCAGTTCAAGCAGTCCATGTCAACATATCTGCAATAATGTTCCTGGCAGTTACACCTGCCAATGTGACTCCTGTTACACGAAACTTGGCGATAATTGTGAACTGCGTCAATGCAAGATTGGTGGACGATGCTTTGAATACGGCGATGTAAATCCAAGTAATCAGTGTCAGGTAAAACACCGTCCCAACCCTAATGTGTCCAAAGTATGGCGATATAATCTATAGACGCCATTTTAGGCTAAATAAGATATTATGCAAATCTTACTCCAGTTATAATGCTCACTCGTGGAGGTTGTATACGCTGATTAACACGAGAAAACTTTCAGTTGAAATATTTCTTATTGTATCGTTTTTTTCGTCGCATGAAATTAAGATTACGCAACACATGCAGTTTAAATACCATTCGTTTAAAATAATAAACTGCTGTTTCCGTTACTGCAGATTGTTACAAGAAAACAGAGCTATAAGACGCTTTTAAGTTATACCGTTATGTTTTGCGCACAACCAGGTTAGGTATAAGATTGTGACAGTGGTCAATATCAATATTTTTGCGTGAACATGCAGTGAACATGTTATCTCTTTAAATTTTGTCGAAGTAAAAACCTTTACATGCAAAAAGTTATGTCATTTAAATAATAGTCATCTTATTAAAATAAACATCAGATCACGCACTGAATTACCAAAACGTCATCCAACTACGACTTTTTATAATTATTTAATATTTAGGATTGTCAAAAGTATCACGAAACAGTTTGGACAAACAACAATGCTCTATCCTGCAGTGATAGTAATTTGTGTACAAGAAATGATAAATGCGTGGCCGGCACATGCAAAGGAACGCCGTTCACGTGTCTTGAATGTGAGAATTGTGATGGATATAAATGTACGATCAATTCTGGTTTCTGTGTGATCGATGGGAAATGTTACCGCCATGGAGATTTGAGAGTTGGGAAATCTTGTCAGGTGAGTTTAGATTTTATCCCTAAAAATTATTAATGCCTTATGACAAACCTTACTAATTACTGGAACGCAGCATTATACATGTACAGGCATGTATAGCTTCAACTTCGAATTCACTGTTTTGAAAACAGACAATGACTTCAAATATTACGTAAAACTACTAAGACTAAATAAGTGACTCAATAATGCTTACAATTTAAAGCTAAAGTGCATGAACATCCTGGCCAGTGGCCACATAGTCTGCATACCCAGACATCATTTCCCACGTTTATTCTTCGCCAATGACGTCAGTTTCGAAGACTATAGTGGCCATGCACGCCACTGCTCAGTAACAGCAGTTAAAACTTATTTTATGTGCTGTTTAAAACACGCGTATATAGGAATGTCTTATCGTTGGTGTGCGGCACCAACATTTTAGATACGATAAAACACTCATACATGCATGCAAGTGTTTGAATAAAAAATTGTTTTAATAAATTTGTAGTTAGCAATTATTTTTGTGGTTAGTCGATGATCTACTTTAGTCTAATTGAACGAAGAGGATGGGTTATTAATATATAGTAGATGGCCGTAACTGCACGAGTTGTATGCCGTAATAGTCACATGCTTGGCAGTCTAGGCAAAGCTTAAACAGTCGCAGGCAAGCACACAGGGGGCAGAAAAGTACGATTGTGTTTATTTAAAATACCTTGTCATCAACCAATATATCGCATAGTTTCATCCAGGTTTCATCACGATGAAAATTATGTTGATTTTCGATAATATCATGTCTACTACTTCATGTAATTCAAACATTGTATTACAAGGACTGACCATAGTAGCGTGGGCTCATACTAGAACGATTCATTTTGCTTACACGTACAAATAATAGAAAGGGATGAAACCCCCGATCGCGAAATATTTCGAATGCATATAACTGTCGTGTTTCTGAACCAAAACCTTTTATTTTTTGTATACAGTTTAGATATGATACACTTAGCATACCTGTACAAGGAAATTTTTAGAAACGGTTATTATACCGAAATTTTTGGGACTACAATTTTGGCTTATTTTGTTTCAACGTGCACCGCAACAGGTGGTGACGGAAGTGACGGAAGTGACGTAGTTACGCACTTAAGAGGCAGTCTCTGTAAGAACCTCATGACCTCTTTGGATGAACAAATAGATTTCTCTCAAACTTTGTAGTTGAGATTGCCTTTATAAGGGTTGTTTCAAAATGCATTTTGTTTTCAGTCTAATTGCATTTTGGCAAAGTTCCAGGGGGGTCAAGTTGAGGGAAAAAATTACGATTTTTGCTGTTCTCAATAGTGGATTTTTGCTGATTTTTAAACCTCTGTACATCAAACAAAAATAATCATAAAACTAAATCTTTCCAGGCAATAGTAGCTTTATATGTCTTAAGTAACAAGGTATCTGTAAATTTTTCAAATTTGTTTTCTAAATATAGAAATGACATCATTCATGATAGACTAAAATAGAAATTTCCAAGTTCCTTAAAAATGGGTGAAATAAAACCCCTAAAATTCAAAAGTTAGACTTGCTATGAATGTAATATTATTTGTATGGTGAGATTAAAGGTTGGTCTTACATAATATAAAATAAAATATTGCGGCCTGTAAATTTTGGAGGTACTACAGGCCAACAAAACATCAACATTTTCGACTTTCGGCAGTTTGGAGTAAATAAGAACGTTCATGTTTACTGTAAACTCTGCTTTGAAAGAGCAAAATTTTACATATTATTGGACCTAGAACAGTGATGAACATTCGTTTGACCTTAACTGTTGTCTAAAGTCTTTTAGGGAAAAGCACTGACACAGGCATTTCCGCTATTTATGGACGTAATGGACCGTATTGTATAAATAATAAACATTTTCTAGCTGAATATAATCAAGACAAGTTATACATTTGCATCATGTAAAGACGTCCGTTAGTCAACAAATTATCAAACATTGATTTATTTTGAAGATTTATTTAAAAAGTCAAGAGAAAACCTACCCCAGTATATTTATATTGATACAAAGTATGCCTCGATCGACAGCCTTGTCATTTAATGACCCGAATTGTCAGTTGACTTATTATTTGACGTTTGTTAGCTTCCATTATTCTTTAGTGTTAATCACTTTCGATATCTTAATGATTATTGTAGACACAGTCTTGTATATAAATCTTGATTCTTCGTCCGAACAGGCAATGTTAGTCAATTCCTCCATCAGTCCATCGTTTATATAACTCGATTTTGTTGCTGTTATGGCGGAGGCCGCTGACCAACCAAATAATTGGACTGTCAAACGTACAGGGCGGGTTTGTGCACGATAGAGATATTTACAGTCTTGGAAAATTTTGCTTCCATCAAACAAATATCATGATAAACCTGTATCGTCCCGCACAATAGTAGCTTGGTATGTCCTAAGTATCAAGGAATCTATAATTTTTTAAAATATATTTTCTAAATATAGAAATGTTTCTATATTTAGAAAAATTACATTTAGTCTGCTTCATTCGTGACAGACTAAAATAGAGATTTTCATTAAAATAGAGATTACATTTTTAAGGATTGGAACAATTTACCCAATTCTATTTGAGAAAACGATTTCCTTATAACTTTTAAACATATCAAGAACTTTGGATTATAGTAGTGACTTATTTTACTTTTTACATAGTAATTTCCTAGTACATATACTTCAGAAAGATATATTATAACGTATTACTATTAGCTATATTGTAATTTATTTGCAGAACCTCCCTGAAAACCACGTATGTGATGGAAGCTGTTAAAATATTACTTTAATAATAATAAAGTTTTGCATATGCATATATATATATATATATATATATATATATATATATATATATATATATATATATATATATATATATATATATATATATATATATATATATATATACTTCTAATTCGCTGCAGATTTCTTTCAGCATTTTGACATTGAATTGTTTCAATTCGTTACGTTGGCGTAATTCACAAGTTACTTATATATTAACGCAACACGCAAGCAAGTTTATATGAAAGCAAGTTAATATCAAAACCGTGAAATTATACATTTTTATTTCAGCTGCATGTGTTTTCACAAAAATTAAAAAGTCAAATTCACCTGTGGAAATAGTCTCGCGGTAAATTTTCGGTGTGAAAGCAAACAATTCTCGACATGTTGCACGTGTTTTGACAGCCGAATTATTTAGCTGGTCAGCGGCTTCCGCCATAACAATAACAAAACGAGTAAAATTAAACGATGGAGGAATTGACTAGCATTGCCTGTTGACGAAGAATCACGATTTATATACGAGACTGTGTCTACAATAATCATTAAGATATCGAAAGTGATTAACACTAAAGAATAATGGAAGCTAACGCACGTCAAATAATAAGTCAACTGACAATCGGGGTCATTGAATGACAAGGCTATGATCGAGGCATACTTTGTATCAATTATATTGGGGTAGGTTTTCTCTTGACTTTCTAAATAAATCTTCAACATAAATCGATGTTTGATAATTTGTTTACTAACGGACGTCTTTACATGATGCAAATGTATAACTTGTCTTGATTATATTCAGCTAGAAAATGTTTGTTTTTTATACAATACGGTCCATTACGTCCATACATACCGTTAATGCCTGTGTCAGTGCTTTTCCCTAAAAGACTTTAGACAACAGTAAAGGTCAAACGAATGTTCATCACTGTTCTAGGTCCAATAATATGTAAAATTTTGCTCTTTCAAAGCAGAGTTTACAGTAAACATGAACGTTCTTATTTGCTCCAAACTGCCGAAAGTCGAAAATGTTGATGTTTTGTTGGCCTGTACTACCTCCAAAATTTACAGGCCGCAATATTTTATTTTATATTATGTAAGACCAACCTTTAATCTCACCATACAAATAATATTACATTCATAGCAAGTCTAACTTTTGAATTTTAGGGGTTTTATTTCACCCATTTTTAAGGAACTTAGAAATTTCTATTTTAGTCTATCATGAATGATGTCATTTCTATATTTAGAAAACAAATTTGAAAAATTTATAGATACCTTGTTACTTAAGACATATAAAGCTACTATTGCCTGGAAAGATTTAGTTTTATGATTATTTTTGTTTGATGTACAGAGGTTTAAAAATCAGCAAAAATCAACTATTGAGAAACAGCAAAAATTGTAATTTTAGCCCTCAACTTGACCCCCCTGGAACTTTGCCAAAATGCAATTAGACTGAAAACAAAATGCATTTTGAAACAACCCTTATAAAGGCAATCTCAACTACAAAGTTTGAAAGAAATCTATTTGTTGATCCAAAGAGGTCATGAGGTTCTTACAGAGACTGCCTCTTAAGTAAGAGCCATAGGACTTCTTTCCCATCCTCTTCAAGATTTCTTAGGCGGGTAGTTGGTATTTTGTTATTCACGTAGGCTAAGACACCGCCACCAGGTGTGGGACGATCACGACGATGTGCATTGAATTTATTGCTTATTTCCACAGCAGCATCCGGGATGTTTGAGTTCAGCCAAGACTCTGTAATTATGATCAAGGAGGGGTTATTGACTGCGGCAATTCCAGAGAGTTCAGTTATTTTGTTCGTTACATGACATGCGTTGGTTAAGAGTACAGATGGAACTAAATAGGCAATTGATGATTCACATATATTGTTTTTCCTTATTGGAATAAGTATTAAGTTACGACTGAGTTTTTGGTTAATAGACATCTGTACTAGTCGACGGTTGGTTATTCTAACCGGGATGGTTTCAGACTCATTATTCAAACGATTAGAAATTGGACCAAAACATGTATATGCCAAGTCAGGTATTACGTACTGGTTCTGGTTATTTGGTTGACTAGGTCCAAATATTTGAGCCAGTCCGGAGGGCGACGGTTCGAACGATTTGGCCGCAGGCAATTATTTGTATTTGTTCTAGAAAGAGACTGGATGAAATTTGGTGGTTCATGCCAATTAGTTTCGTCTGGATCGTTGAATTGAGCATTAGTCGCTTCCTTAATTTCAGGTTTATTTCTGTATGAAAATTCGTCTGTCTTATTTGGTTCTAGGGGTTCGTGTGGTTGTTTGATAGGTAGACTGTGTTTATATTTCTTTTCGCTTTGATCCTGATCGCTATGTTCTATCCTGTTATTCGTGTCGCAGTGTGTGACGTCTGTTGTGCCGTTTGCCATTTGTTTTAGACTATTAATTGTATTCAATGATGTTTTATGGCCTTTGTATTTGGTGTTAGGTTTAAGTTTAATTCTGCGTATGACACTTTGTTCAGGAGAACAATCGGCATCTCGAATAGCTTCGCCTTGATCATTGTATTGAATGTTAGTCGCTTCCTTAATTTCACATTTGTTTATGTGGGAAATTTTGTCTGTCTTATTTAGTTCTAGGGGATCAAGCGCAGGGTTCAACCACTCGTTTTGATCTTGATTGCTTTCTAAATTAACGCGTGATTGATTTGTATTTTCATCCAAGGCCAAGGGTTTTTGCTGCCGAAGGCAGCACTCCTAATCTTGACATGAAGGTTTCTCCAGAGTTCACTCGAACCAGTCTTTCGCGCCGATCTATGTATTGTCGAGATCTCGATCTTGTGTCTGTTAAGATGTCGTAAATCCGGGGGGGAACGGACGGGGGGAGTGCGAGAAAATATTTATATGGCTATATGCAAACTTATTCTGGATCTGCACTTGATGCAAAATATACGAACATTTCCCGAAGAAACCAGGTAAGTATGGCTTTATTTCTTTGTGCTAATATCCATCAGGGCCATGAACTGTTTAGCGTTCATTCTGGAGGCAAGCAATGTGCTTTTATGTCATGAGTTTACGGCGCTTTTTACAACCCGAAATATTCCCATTGTCCGCATGGTCGTTTAGAACATTTGATAATGTCTTATAAATACAAGGAGACAAGATGTAGTACTTAAGAGCTCTGAAGTATTTCATGAATTTACCGGCAGATCTATTCGTCAATAATGCCTTATTTACGAGTCACAATGTACTCAGTTTTAATATTTGTTTAATTGTTTGTTATGTGCCAAGACGATGAGTATAGTGTTCATTTCTAGATGTTTATAATGATGTTTATAGTTTTACTAACAACACGCGGAATGTTGTTAAATCAGGCTTACTGTGATAAGATCCCTAGAGCAACCCAGTGTGGATTGTTCTCTGCACATATTGACTTTATACCAGCAATATGATTACATGTAATAGTATGTCAACTGATTTTTGTATAAGATTTGACTGTGTGTTTATTGTTAGCATAATAAGAAATAATCCTACCAGCCTACATTCATATATATAAAATATTCATCTGGCTGTGGCACTACATTTCACAGTCACGGTATTATATTTTTCGATAATGCTCACAATTAGAAATGTCAACAAATAGATATTGTCTCCCCATCAGCATATTTTTCGGTTTTTCTGTGATATGGGCAGTCTTGAAGGTGGCATTAAAACAATAATTGGAACAAACCCCGACTTAGGGCCTGTTTACATGGAAGCGAGTTACTCGGCATTTGTCTCATGATTGCCGCATGATGCCGAAATGGCGCCAAAACAGAAAAAGGATTTAAGTCGTTTGAAACGCTAAAAAAAATTAGAAAATATAGTGAACGTACAAGAATAAGCGCCGAGCAATTCAGGAAAACTTATCTATCAATTCGTATGTATTTTTGAGCTATTATATTTCAATGGCAAAGCACATGCATTCTATCTTAGGCGGCCGAGTTACCCCGGCAAAGTGTTTACATGGAAAATATTCATCTGGCATAGGTCAGATCCCACCTCTTTCTGCCGGGAACTCGCCAAGACGAGTTACTTGGCTGCATCATGTAAACAGTCACCCGGGATTACTATTAGTTTCTATAACAGCAGGGATCTCGCCATTGCCGAGTAACTTGCCTTGCTGGGTAACTCGCCTCCATGTAACCAGGCCCTTAGTATTTTTATATAAACATTGTACAGTATTCAGTGGCAAGCTAGCCCATGACAACTGGCCATATGCTTGCTGATAAACCTGCATCTATTTGAATAATGCAAATCATTAAAAACTTGCATAGCATGACCTGTTCCTATGGCTACCTTCACCACTGACCGTATTATAATTATACAACAGCTAGACGTTATAAGCATTGAAGATATTCATATAAAACCGCCCATGCCAAGAAAGTAGAATTAGAACTTTCAGCCGCCCTTTGACTTTGTGCAAGATGTTTGATATTCAAATTGCATTTTTCCTACCTCCTGAACAGGCATCTTGAGTTTGCATGATGGAAGAAGGGATGATTTTGATGTATTAAAATATTAGTCACTAGGCTAAACGAAAGTTCAAACGCTCAAATGTAGAGAATTAGTTCAAATGTAGAGAAGATCGTGTGGTGCAAGAAGGTTATATAGTATTATGCTTGAACAGGCAACCTTTCGTTTACAGTTAACTATACCGTAATCCATCTCTAGAAAATAGTGAAATTTTTTGCTGAATCATGCATCGTGACTTATTTAAGCACATCAAAATCATCCTGCCTCATATCTCCTGGCAAAGCGGGATCATATAAACAGCCCCTTATTCAGCAAATTGTGCATGCTGCCTTTAATCCCTTGGAGGTGAGGCAGCATTTTCCTTGCGATAGTAACTTCTAGTATGATCGATATTTCGACATTATTTAACTGATTCAATGGAGGTTGTGTTGGCGGCGAGGCAGTCTTACTCTCATTGTTCTGCGGGGAATTCTCATTCGTTGTTAATTTCTTTGGTAGGGGATTATCTAGTTTGGCTTCTAATGCAACAATTCTGCTTTGCATATTAGACAATTGATCGCTTCAGTGTTTTGGCTAGTATCTTTTTGGTTTATTGAGATACTGTTTGAAAGCTTAGATTGATTAATTACAACATCGAGTTTAACGCCTTCCAGATCCATAGACAAGCCATAATATTTAGAGCGAGATGAGTTTTCTGTTTGATTATCGTTGTTTAGGACATTGGACTTGTATAATTGTTCTGAATCGGCGTTTATGATAGTCGGCTTGTTGAGCGAGTTGTGGATTTTATGCGTTAAATCATATAAACAGTCAACTTTCCTCTCAACTGTTAAGTCATTTTCAGGTACTGAATCAACTGTTAATATTACATTTAAATTTTCTGTAGTGCAATCATGTAAGTCGTTACTAACCTCATTGTTGTTAACAAGATTGGTAGGCTCATTAGGTACACTTGGGCAAGTGTCTTTTGTGTTGCAAGGATTCAGATTACCATATTTATCCGCTTCAAATGTTGGCGCTTTCGAAGTTGCACTACAATGATTTGTCTCTTTCCAGTTCGCAAAATCCCGAAATTGTGTAATCATCGACGCGAGTTGTGCAACAGACCCCGATAGCGCTTGAATCGCTTCTCCACTGATCAACTGTTCCTGTTTAAGAGTTTCAATCCCCTCACAAGTACATGATGATTGCACGCTTGATCGCCTCGAGAGAGGCGTTTCTGAGCTGTCTTCGTCTTGCCCACATATAATTTTACACAACTTTCCCACAATATCGTTTGCTCTCTTCCATTCGATACTCAGCAAGTTCTTATTCTTTCGCCAAATTATCGTCGCTTCAACTCCAGTGAATATAGCTTTTTATCTCCTCCAGGCTGCGACCAAACGCCTTCCAGCTGCAGATCGTCGCTTACAAAATTATTCAGTGATTGATAATCACCAGTGCATGCTAAGCTAAGCTTTTCACCAAATAATATCGCCATAACCTTATTCGCGTTCAAAGATTATGCGTTCAAAAACTAACCAAGTAAATTATTGATTCATTTATAGTCTATATACTTTCTTAATAACTAAAGTTGAGGAGCCCAAAAATAGACATCCTCCTCATCCCAAAAATAGACTTGCCAAATGATATTATGAAACCGAGTTTAATAATACCCTGCGAGTTTAATAAGTAATTATCCCAAAGGATTTTTAGGAGTATCAAAATGAAATTTCAATCTTTGTTGAAATTTGTTCCCCAGCGAATGTAGACAGTGTTTGGAAATACAGTTTCCAGATTGTTCGCCACAATGAGCCTGTATAAAGTGTATATGCACATTTGACATTTCCATTTCAATCTGATTCTGAGGTCGTCATCATCCATATCTTTCGTCATGACAGCTAAGGGAGCGTTGCTTTATCAAGTGCAATCCGGATTTGGATTTTCAAATCGGATTATCGATTATCAGACAAAATCTTAAAATAGATTCGAATCTGATGAATCCGCCTCAATTCAATTTATGGATTTTTCGGATTCAATCTGAAACATGATTAGGATTCAACGTTCCTTTTGAGCTTCTGACCTTCCCAAGCATGTACCTTGACCAGGCCGCAAGGTGTAGTGGGACAGAAAACGTATTGTCAAAATGGCGGGAAAACAGAAGTACGTGAATTCTTCCACATTTTTGATTATTTAAGTATGTAAAATATCTTCCTTCTTTGTGCAATGGCTTATAGTATCTTTATGAACAACTTTTCTATTATATTTTATTAGAAACACCATCAAAAGAAGTCGGTAAAACATTTGAAGCTCTGTGTATGAACCCGAAATGCAAGATTCCGTTCCTTGCATATGGGGAAGGATTCCACGATCTTAGTGGTAAAGCAAGTGCATTTTATTCTTCCGAAAACGATTTCTGCTGTTTCAGTTGCGAAATAGAATGTTCAGTTCAGGTATTTTCAGGTACTTGATTTATTTTGTAGAGTCTTTAATCTTGAGAACCATTGGGGAGAATACGTTTGTAAGGGCCACTCGCACATGTCACACCAGCACGCACAACTGTCCTGTCTGCATTTGAGTCCAAACCCCCAAACTGGCAATGAACCACCCCTTTGTTCCAAACAGAAAATTCCATTTATTGTAAACTCATTATGAAAGGTGACAACATGTGCTTTCTAGAAAAGGGCACCTTTAATATCAATGAGAAGAGACATGGCTAATTACGTTCTGCCTCAAAATGTGAGGTTAAATAATGGCAAGCAGGATTATGTCAAAACTGTTGATCATGATAATAATAAGAGTGGCAATGATTCGAAAACATGCTCATATTTCAATGAATTGAATGAAATATATTTGCATGCAACCGGCAGTTGATAATAAAGTCAAATCTGATGAGCAAAAAAATTACTGGTAAGCAGAAGAAAAAGAAAAAACTGAGCATTGGTGAAAGCCTTACAAAGGCCCAAGATGATCTGAAGGAGGAAAATAAGAAAAAAAAGTTATAAATGGAAGAAATGGATAGGGAAAAATGGAGCGTTTCGACTGCTTGCTAAATCTATACAAAAAGGATCTTTCTATGCAATTTAAGAAAGATTACTTCAGTGACTAATTTTATATACACTTGTATATGAAAGTATATTTATTTATCAATACTATATCTATTTGTCAACCTGTTGCATGTATTTTCCAATATTTATTGTTCATATGCTTTTTTAATTAATTTAAGCTCTTGCGTTACAAACAATTTCAAAAATGTCATTATTGTTTAGAAATAAATGATGACGTTTAACTGCACTGCACTGCACTGCACTGCACTGCACTGCGCTGCACTGCACTGCACTGCACTGCACTGCACTGCACTGCACTGCACTGCACTGCATTGCATTGCATTGTAACTTGCCAGGGCCCCAACTGAATAGTTTGAAGTAGCTCAGTCCCTCTCAAAATGCAGGGGTTTATCTAGGAGCCATTGTATTTGTGTCTGCTACCGTACTCTCTCTAATAAGCCCTCCCCCCCAGTCTTATTCTTTATGGCACCTCTGAGGGGGCTTATTAGAGACCAAGAGCTCATAAGAGAGGGGGACGTATTTACTTTTCAGTAAAATGATGTGATGATTGTGCAGGGATGGATTTACTGGGGAGGAGTGCAAATTTCCACATCAAGTCCAAATGTTGGATTTGCCAGGTTATTTACCAAATAAAAACACAATATTGGCAATTCTAGACAATACTATTTTTCAAACATTTTCTGAAAATAGGCCCTACCGGGTGTTCTCAGTGATGCGCTCTAGCTCAATCGATGGTTACACCATGTTTTATGACCAGCCCCCGCTAAATATTTTGTTGTATAGCATGGTACAATTTGTACAAAAAATCACAAAAATCTTACCAAAACACTTGTATTTTAACTACATAGTCAGGGCCGTAGCGAGGGGGGTATTGAGGGGGTTAACCCCCCCCCCCAGCATTTTTAATTTTAGAAATAACATATTCGGAAAATTGCGGCAATAATAGAATAACAAAAGTTTACTTGGTTAAACAGAGAAAATATAATATAATTGTATTGTCAGTATAAACTGATTTACGAAATCATGGCATTTACATGGATAACATTTAACGAATCGTAAATAAGTAAATGTTTTTCGGTTTATTACTTCTCAGGGCCGTAGCAACCGGGGGGGAGCTTTGGGGGTGGGGGGGGGGGCTGCAGCCCTCCCAATAATTTGCTAATAATCATTCTTTTTTCAAAATCATGCAAACCTTTATCATTTAAATAATATACCTTCGAAATACTGACAATTAGTTAATTTAAAGCGGCTACATTACCCATGACACACTGCAAAGAATCATATTACCCAAACTTTCCTGCAACTTCTCCAATATATAGTTAATTAATTAAATACTCCTTCGCCCCCATTTAGTACTACTAAATTGTAAGCAAATTTGTAAATTTCGACATACTAAAATGCTGTTTTCTGACCATCAGAATTCTGTCAAAACTTCCCCAAAGTCCAGGAAATAGCATTTCAGAGACTCTAAATCACAAAATTAATTCCCTTGGGCATTCGGCCCTCGTTTTCACCCCCAATAAAAAACAGATTCCTGCAGCACTGCATGCTTCTGTAATATGTCTGTGCGTAAAATATGTGTATGTTTGTTTGTAAATTGCGTCTTCTATATCGAAATTAGTGTATCTTTGTCAACGGAAGGTTTGACTCGACAAATAGCAGAGATTCCTGCAGTTATTTTTTTGCAAATATTTTCAGAACTACTTTTCCAAGACAATTGCTGGTCAACTATTACTCCGAGAGTTTTGCATTCGCTAACTTGTTTAATTTGCTTATTTTCAATGAAAACATTCAAACGTGAATCAGAATTTTATTTAATCATTGCCTCTGTCTTAGCTATACACTTAGCCTAAGTTTATTGGGAATTAACCATTTTATGAGGCTTTCCAAATCAGAATTTACTGCAGTCTCAAGGTCAGTTATAGAATTAATCTCCCAAAGCTGTCAGACTTGTGTCGTCAGTAAATAACCGAGGTTTTGTTTTGTTTAGACACTGAAGCAAATCATTTATGTATAACAAAAAGAATAGTGGCCCTAAGATAGAGCTTGTGGTACGCCACATTTAATCAGTCGCTCTGTAAAAAAGGAATTTTTAATTTGGCACTTCTGGTTCCTGTTTGTGAGATAAGATTTGAGCAAAGTTAGAGCGTCTCCTTTTCTTCCATAGAGTTCTAACTTCCTCAATAGAATTTGATGATCAACAGTATCAAATCATTCTTTTTAAATCAATTAAAACTACTAGGTTAATTAACTTAATTTAAACATTTTTCTGTCTAGATTCATATACCAATCATTCGTATACAGTTAGCCTCCTCCGCAGGCATCTCACCCGACGAATCGGGTGGTGGGAAAATGTTTGGTGAGATGCCTGCCATAAATCGACACAAAAATTTGCACTGCGCATACCGGCTCGCGCATGCAAATTTCGACAAACTCAAACTTAGGGGGAGTAGGAAGGGCTTACAGCAAGGAGTGAAGAAAATTTTGTTTTCAACACGATGGCTTACAAGACGAGTAAAACTGTAAAATTAACGAATAATCCTACTCTTCAACATTGCAAATACAAAGGAAACTTTGACTAAGGAGCTGAGAACGTTATCGAAAGCCGACGCAGCGATTTACTGGGATTGTTTAGAGATAACGAGTGACTTTGCAGAGCAGTGAATTCACAATGTCGTCGATTCATGTCAAGACAAGGTTTCAATTGAAAGTTTATCGTTGATATATGCAAATTTCTATTCAAATTGTTGACGACATTTTATATCATAATAAGCTGAAAGTGCAGTGATTTAGTCGAAATTGTAACACGAAAAGGAACGATCGAAAATTGTTAATATATAAATGTAAATTCAACTGTTGACATCTGTGACTGTGCCTGCGTATTAAATATATAAACACCTCTTGCCTTGTTTTAATACGCTTGTATGGAAGGAAATCATTAATAAAAGTCTTAAACAAATAGCTTTCTTATTGTGGAATACACTGTGTAATTTATCCCTTGGACAAAGACAAAGTTTTCAAACTTGAGTGTCTCAGATGTGGCGAAAATTAGCAAAAGCTTTCTTAAATCAGTGGCCCTGTTTTATATATGGGCGTGAGTATAAATGTAGGCATAAGGGAAAGGACAACTGGAATTTAATAAGAATCTAATAGTTTTCCATGTGGTGCAACATGTATGAAGACCTGTTTTAATAACATTTGCCTTGGATTTGTTAATTAACCAATGGAGGCATTACATACATTCCATTTTGTTTGCCAAAGTTTACAGACAAAATATTTACATGGGTAAAATCTATTTTGCAAGGCAAATCCCCTATAACCATACAGTCACTGACGAAACCACCCAGTGTTAGACGTGTTTTCAGGGATGGATCCAGCATGATCTGGTAGGGGGGTGCTCTACCAGCTCTGGTGTCGAGTGACTCGAGTTGTGTCGTCATGTGTGCAGCCTGCCATTAATATACAGCAACAGCAGTATTCTGACAATTTGGCAAAACAACCTCCATGTGGTACAAGTGTACTGTGTACAATATCTCATTTTGTCTCTAATATTTTTTGCTTTATCATGAAAAATAGCACACACATACCCCCTGGCCAGGGCTAGGGAGGGGGTGTGCACCCTCCCCCCCCCAGTAAATCCATCCCTGCATGTTTTGCTATTAATTGTTACATTAACCACCCAAAAGTCTTTCAATGGTGGGTACATATTAATTGTAAGCTGTGAAGCTTTAGATTAGCCCATTGTTTGCACTCTCCCATGGAATAGTAAAATTGTCTGATGTTAGACAGAGTATAAAAGCAGGGGCGTTCCGACAAGCGATGAGACAACAAGAACTTGTTGTGGACCCCTGGCATTGTAGGCTCTTACATGATAAATGCCAATCTAGATTTATTATATTTAAAACAAATAATGTCAAGAGCAATTTTATTTAAACATGAACAAGGGAGATACATATAATTAGAGAATATGCAGATACATCATAAATTTCTTTATTTATCAAATCATGGATGTCATGTGGCCAGTACGTGTAACACAACTAGGCATATACTATATTAGAAAGAGGTTGTTACATGTGTTACAATGCAACTTAATGGGTTTAGCATATTCACATGATATTAATTAAGGGGGTGAGTTCCAATTAACTATTTAACCAAGTGAAGCCTGGTTTACATATACCTGCTGTTTGTTGATGGGCTATTGTCGTTAAAAGTTCAACTAAATAATTCACAAAAGAATGTATGCATCAACAGCTGTAAACAATGATAATGCAGGCATATGTAAACCAGGCTTAAGATGCCAACAAAATCTTGATTTTTGTAGGCTTTTGTTGTAATCAAATTTCTGTAGTTGATATTTCCAAGTTGTTATCTCTCCTCACTTATTGAAATGGTTGCTTCAACAGAAAGGTCTTTTCCTTTTATATATCAATTCACTTAACATGTTGCCAAATGTCTGATGATTTGACTAAAATTAGTAAAATATAATCAAAATGTGAACCCGGACAACCCCTTCATATAAATAAACATGCCAAAATAATATTCCAGAAAACAATACAATTTAATATAATTCCTTTATTAAATTATACCTTTCGTATCGTTCCATTCTTCGTTTTGCGTTCGAAATTATGCCAGATAATTTCCTCAAATTGTAGTTCCTCGGCTGAACAATTGATACATATTTGTAAACATTTGGCTGCTTCGAGCGAGCGATTCAATTAAATTTGCACGTCGTTTTTAGACCGCGAGAGACATTGCGATATATAATCCTTTCAATTGACCAACTAATTTTCGTATAACTTGAATATTTCGATGCATTTTAAAACATTTTTAAAGTTAATAATACTCGCAAGCTTCGCTCCTCGCCTGAAGATTTCAAACTGAATATATAATTAGGGTCAAAAGCCTACTTAGGGTAGGGGGTGGGGTACATTGACACGGCCACTAAGGTACATTGACACGTCCATTTTGTTCGATTTATGGCAGGCCTCTCTCCCAGAAAATTTTTTTTTCAAAACCCATTCGCAGGCTAGAACCCATAGAGAGGCCTGCGGAGGAGGCTACCAAATGCCAATGGCTCTTGTTAATTCATCAGCACAGTAATGACCCCTACTTTAGTATTTACCCTGTCCAACGCCAGACGATTTTTGATACTCAGTCAGTGGTAGGGTACTGTCAATAAATGGGTTGACAAGGATAACAATAATTAGCCTGCATGGCAGGCGGTATTTCCCAGGCTTGCCCAATTTTAGGAACCGCCTGCCATGCAGGCTAAACAATAATAGGATGTTTCTGAAGGACTCGTTCAACACCCTGTAGTTTTCTTTTGCTGTCAAAGGCAGCATTACTGCCCTGTGGGTAACCTAGTTTCAACATATTTTGAACGTTGAAGTTGTGATGGGTGCAAAATTCGCGGCATGTTCAATGTCCGGTTTAGCTTCAATGTCAAAAACACATGGGTGTTCAATGTCAGATTTAAGTTCAATGTCGAAAGCACGTAGGTGTTGAATGTCCTATTTAACTTCAATGTCGAAAATATGTTGAATGTTCTGCATGTTCAATGTCAGATTTATCTTCAATGTCGAAAGCACGCAGGTGCTGAATGTCCTATTTAACTTCAATGCCGAAAATATGTTGAATGTTCTGCATGTTCAATGTCAGATTTGTCTTCAATGTCGAAAGCACGTAGGTGCTGAATGTCCTATTTAACTTCAATGTCGAAAGCATGATATACATGAATATTGGCGGTGATATGACGCCATAATCGAGTATCACATCAAGCCACATATTATACAATACACAAATATAACATCAGTGGTTATATTTCAGATCAATACACAAATATAACATCAGTGGTTATATTTCAGACGCATTTTAATATTTTGGGAAAAAACTTCCGGCAATCGATAGATCTTCAGTCCGTGAATATAAATCAATAAAAATGTAAAAAATGATGAAATCAGTGTTTTCATCATATAATGGAACCTTAAACAGTACATAATCATTTTGGTAAAATTGTGTGTTTCTTGTTTAATTAAAACCCATTGAGTCGCAATGTACCCCAGTGCGCCCTACTTTTTTTTTACTTGTCTAACACCAGACAATTTTACTCGTCAATGGGGAAGCTCTGCAGCTTAATGGGTACGTTGACCAAAAAATCTGACAATGTCTCTAGTTAACCCATTGAATCGCAATGCACAATGGGGAAGCTCTGCAGCTTAATGGGTTAATATAACGCGCTCAAAGTGATGAACAGAACAGTCAAGCCTATAAGAATCTGCCACGTAATTTACGACTACGAGTACGCTCGCACATGAAATTTAGAGGTATATGAAAGTTGCATGCCATATATGGCATGTAAGAAAAATTTGCCCGATCCTGATAAATTGCCCGACCACTACAAAAGAGACATTTTTAAGTACAATCTGTCTGATTTTTAAGTACCACAAACTGTCCTACCATTATTAATGACTGGTCCCTTCAACAATAAACTACGATTCATCATGCATCAGCATCACGTTCAATATTTCAACTTGTAAGAAATTTTTTGAAGCGGATTTTTTTCCTTGTTGTAATGTTGATGCGCAAATCTCACGCAAGCTAGGATGAGACTGGACCTATTTATACATTACGACGCATCGCTCAGGGGAGCTACGGGAAAGAGATTACGAATGAGATTATGTACTACAAAAGAAACACATCTGGTTTGACGCACAATTTCGACTGGAAAACCTAGTTCGAAATGCGTATGTTCAT